TTTACTCTCACAAAAGATTATGCATAACCATCTTCCATCTTCATCGATGCATCTAAATGTTCATTCGTAATTTGCAATTGCCCTCCTAATCGCCACCATAACAACAGGCCTGTTGAAATGTTGAGCTATGTGGCCCTGCTGGTATCGCTTATAATCCAATTAGACCACAATTTTCGTACGATAACTACAAGACAGTATCCTACATAATAATAACTATACAACGAGATACATTAGCAACAAACAACGAATAAAAAAATATATAAATAAAAATTTTTACACTGATAAAGCAAGTACCAAAAATTTCAATCAATCAGTAAATGGAACGAATCGATTCGAGTTCACAACAACAGCTCGATAAATAAGAAACCGATAATGAATAAAGATAAAATGAAACGTTCAATACGAAAACAAAATGTGACACAATAAAATGACTAGACAGTGATTGTGCAAATCGATTGAGGAATAGCTGGAGATTGCATTTAGAGAGGTTAATGAGATTTTTGACTTGACATCATAGTGAATATGATTACGACTACGACTGATATTCAAGCATTGACCGAACGTCGTCGTCAGTGTATTAAAATCATGGCTGTAATGAATATCATCGAGCTTATCATCGTATGAGATCCATCGTTACAATAGTCACTTCCTTTACAGTAGAAAGTCTCACCTGAAATGTGGATGGACAATTTTTCGAAATGAACACTGAAAATCTGTGTGAGCAATGTCCAAAACGAAAATCTACTACACCAAACAGCTCTACTACACCAAATATTTTATCAATTGTTATTTCTTGCATCATACAATATGATGGCTCTAGGCAGATGGAAAATCGCACTCAGCAGGCGGGCCAATGCATGGTTTCCTCAACTACCGTATCACTCGAAGCATTTCCACTTGCGATTGATATTCACTCAACAATTTTTTTGGATCAACGCTTACAATAACAGTTTTGTTTCAGTGATGACTGCTCAATGAGTAGAACGATTATTTCATTTGCGATCACATTAACGAATTGTATCAACAAAAAAAATGGCAGCGACAATATTGATACCTGTAACTTTTTCATCATTGACCCAATACAGTTTCACATCGAGTGTTCTTCTCTTCATGCTTCCATCTTCCTGATCCTCCTTCGTACAACCTTTCATTATGAGAGCATGCTCTGAAATTTCAGTGATGAAAATGATGGAGTCTAAGAAAAATTGTCAATTTCATGGACGCATGAACGATTTCAAACATCAATGTGGAATAGTCCCAAAACATCACACTTCTATTTCAGATCTCTGAAATTCGACAATTACTTGCAGTTATTATCGCACATCAGATTTCGTTTACAAAACTGTGCATACGGATGATATCCTCGATGATATAAATAATATCCTCGATGAGCGTGAAATTTCCAAGGATTTCAAAACGAATTTCGCGTCAGCTGAACATGAAATTGGATAAATTACGAACGACAAGAAACAATCAAAAGTGATACTTTCGTCAACGAGTTTGAAGCACGATCCTGGGCAACAAACGGTTTCACGATCGCAGTTCTCCATATCCCGACCCATACAAGTGTAACATGCATGTGTTCCGGCTTGTAGTGAACAATTGTACTCCTTGTCAATACATTCACAATACCCTGAAACATTCGAATGTAAAAATTAGCTTGTTGTTTCTTGGATACTGATAAATGAAAAACTACCAATTTCACAACACACTCCCACTTCAAATAGTTGATGAATTTCTAGTGCAACTGATAAATTTCTCAAGGAAATTGATAAAATTGATAAATTCTCGGTTAGGATAGAAATTCTGTTGTCGCGAATGAACACATTCTTATGAAGGAAGGGATCGCCTGGAAGTGTTTAAAGAATTGAATATAATCTCTTCAACGTACCAAGATAACTGAGTAGAATTAGTATAATCGAATTAACATTCATAACCAATTCAGGAATTTCAATGTAATGACTGAAATTTCAGCACATGAAAACAAAATTTACTCTCATATAATAACCAAAACAATCACGCCATCAATACATCATCGTTGTTTAAACAAAGCATAAAACGCTATTGATAAATCGCTAACAAGCGTTGAGAAACCGTCTTATCAAAACGTGTACATTTCACACAAATTTTAATGTAAACATTTTGAAACACTTTATCAAATGCACGATATTGTGTGCATTTAAAACATGACACATTGATAAATGTGTGTATATTCAAGTATGTAAATAATATGATAAAGATTACGTATGAATATTAAAACGATGCATATTTACAGCACAAAGCACTACCAAAAGCTTCATCTGTCTTCGCTGTCAGTCAGTGGACAGAAAGCACTTATCGCCGCTAGTTGTTATTGCATGAAGGAAGTGAATGTTGTTTGATTAATTCATGCATTCGATCGCACACAACGATAATGGATTTTGAACGAGCGGAAAAGTTGAAATGCGATTAATTTTCACGATTAATTTAATCGGTTATTTTGATGTTAGCAATGTGTTTCTATTTCTTGGAATCTCCTGTTTCGTGACTCTCCAATTTCGATTTTGAATTAATTCAATGCCAGATGCATACACACATGCACATTCAGTGTTTTGATCAAATCCACTATAACAAATAGAGCAATTGCACTATGAACAATAATCGTTAAGAGGTAATGTGAGCGGAAATTTTTATATTAGACACTAAAATTTCTAGTATCGGTAGAAGCTTTTGTGAATCAAGTTGCATTCATAGATGGAACGCATTTATAACAAATATTTTGTTTCATTGGCACCGTTAAGGGAACTGTTGTCTGAAAAATTTTTAGTCACACATCAATTTACACTCTTAAGATACTGGAATATGAGAATCTAATTGAGTTTTCGGCTACTCGAAAATCTAGAAGATCTGAGAGCAAGAAAATAGTGGAATGTGGAATGTAGGCGATAAAGAGTAATATCACCAAACAAGCGATGTTGAAGTATTGAAAATCTTGCCTCGAAAGTATTGAAAATCGGGTTGGAAAAGTGTTTGATATTGTTGGATGGAAAACCTGTCGAAGCTAGAACGGAAACAGGAGCATAACATTGAGATTAAACATTTGTCTGAGTTCAGATGTCAACCTACGCTTAAACTCTGCTCAATACAGCTGAAAATCGTCGAGGAAATTAGTGATTAATTTGCTCATTAAAAAATAATTCGGAGTGAAAGTGACTGAAATACCTTCAAGATTAATTACATCAGCCATTACCATTAATTACATCTGTCATCATATGAGAACAGTGGCGTTAAATATTTAATAAATGTTGGGAACTTATCCGATAACGAGCGCTTTATAATGGTCATTGGTGTAGCATAACAATGGTGTGTGAATGCAACAAGGATAAGGGGCGCAATGACGGAGACAAACTTCTTTGTATGCGGATAGCATATTTAGCTTGAATTCCGCTCCTTAGAAGAAAATCTATACCCATTAATCTACTCTTAAGAATCGATCATCTAGTCCAGCTATTGATCGCAGCCTATAGCCCATATTCCACATATGCACTACATCGAAGGTTTCGAGCTTTATACTGCTCGCTAGTGATACAACAAGTAAATAACATTCTAGACTGCTAATTTCATCATGGTTTAAAACATCAAGAATGAGGACGAATGACCTTTAAAAACGCATGAATGCGAAATTATCCAATAATATTTGTTTTTCTCTGAATTTTTTCGGATTCACCTTAAGTTTCATCCGTTCAAGATTAGATTTAGAGCTAAGGTTAAAGGAATACAGAGGAAAAAGAGGAAGCAAATCACTTTTGTAGCAAATAGAATTCAGTGTCAATTCCAGGTCGTCAGGCTGGAAAAAATTCTTGTAAATATATGATAGCAATAAGATTAACTAATGAACGAAGGGACAAGTGTGAGCATACCGAAAGGATTACATTCAAACGATATCGCTGTTGTTAAAATTGCGATTTTCAAAGTTTTATATGACAGCTGGAATGAAGTGTTACTGGGGAAATAATTTTTGAACGATTGCTACGGAACACTTAGAAAACAGTCAATAAAGAAGAAATTGGGAAGAAAAATCATAATCGAGAGAAATGGAGAGAAGAGTATGAGAAATATTTGAAAACGAGAAACTTTCAGTGAAATCGCCATATAGAAGAGACAGATTCTGTGATGAAGTGGTGAGGATGTTTAAACGAAAATGTTTGTTAAGCAGCCAGCAGAAGGAGGAGAACTGGCGAACGAAAACTTTAAGCGAAGCTATTTGAAGAAACAGAAGCGTAGAAGAGGGATTTCGTTTGGTGCTATCACGAAATGCTATTGATTAAGCGTATGGTGAGCTGCTGAATACTG